TAGCTTGAGTGCGAATCGTTTTGATGTTTAAGGTCGTTTTGTCGGAAATGAGTCATTGCTCCATCCGGGATATGCTTTGACCTATATTCTTTCGTTTCCTTTTTGCAATATAAACGTTTTATATCTTGTAGAAATTGTGAAAAACTTCATGTATATTGTATAAGTCGAAGTAATAATGTCAAAGAGAAATCTTTAACTTGAATTAGCCTTTGTAGTGTCTGTAGCAACATGACAATATTTAAAAAAATCTTTAGGTAAGAACCACAATAACTCATTTATTATAAAAAAAATTATTATCAAGATTAAGAATGGATAAGCTGATGCCACAGCCTCTTTGCTTCATACTTCGGCAAAAGGCCAACAGACCTTTACAACCTACTCAGGCAAAGTTGATCAAGGACTAGTACAGATGACCATAAAATTGTCGCTTGGCTATCTGATCAGGGTCTAGGACAAACGACTACAAAATTGTTGCTTAGCCGACTGATCAAGGACTAGGATAGACATCAACATAAGTGTCGCTTGGCCGTCTGGTGTCACGGAGGACAAGTGGCATGTAATAACAAGGCTACTCAATTTATATTTAGCTTAAAATGAATAAAAGTTGACATTAGTAGTGCATATTTACATATATTAGATTTATCATGTTTTCTATAAACTACAAGGAAATAATACAGTATTCATTTACAATAGCTTACCCATACCAAACACAGAGTAAGATAGTGTGTATTCTAGAGCAGATTATTTATCAAATAAAGTCTATGATAAGATTTTTCTACTTTATAAAAGTTAGAAAAATCAGGAAGTTATATAAAAAGACAACCTACATTTAGCAATTGAAATATATTTCCTTGAAATATATTCTACTACTGATTTGTTTTACATGACCATTGCATTATCAGACCACTTTAACTATTTGTTTATAGCTAAAATTTTGGCCTGTAAACTTTATAATGAAAATATCATTGGTCTGTGGCTTGACAAGCAGTTTGTGTTAAGTTGTCAGTGGTTTTCTTAATTGTTTACCATGGTAAAAGGACAAAAACTAACTTAATTGGTGAATGATAAATCATAAGATTATTTTACAACTGATAATTAACCATCCTGCCTTGACAGTTCATCTCATATTAAAGAATACTAGAATTGACGAGTGTATATTGAATATTAAATACTTTCTACTCAGAATCCTGTCATTTCATTTTAAAATGTGATGCTATGATTCATATAGGCCTGGTGTCGTGACACAATTTATGCATTATATTTACCTTATTTCTCAGTTTTATAATTTGGTGAAATATTTAATGCAGGAATGATTATATAAGGATATTATATCATGGAAATATAGGTGATGAAAAATGTTGATAATCTTTATACTAATAAACCCTAGAAATCACACATTCAGCAAGTGCATTACTTTTGTTGGAAATTGTGCAAAGAAGAATTGATGGTTGATTAAACAGCTAATGACCTTATTTCATTTATGTAGATGTGCATGATGTGCAACTTATTCACCAGATCTCGACATCTTGAGACCTCCATATGTATAGCATACAAAGACTACACAATGGCAGAAGATTCAAATTTCATAGGTTTGATATCTCTTTCAGGATCTCATAGCATGGAGGCCAAGGGTCTCTGATGCAAGTTCTAGTGGAGTTGAGTCATCTAATATTCTGAGCTCGGCAGAAAATTCTCCAGATGTGATTCCTGCAAGCCCTGGGAGTCCAGATAGCGTTCCTGACACACCAAAGACTACCCGAGGAATCTTCCAGCAGAGGAGCAGGCAGTACCACTCGTCGCAAAGTTCTCGGGCGTCATCTTTGAGGTGTGTAATTATGGTTTTGTCTTCCTCAGTACGTTTTTTTTTTTTTTTTTTTTTTTTTTTTTTTTTTTTAATCCTCCTTCGCTTCCTCTTCCTCCTTTTTCTCTTCTTGCTCCTTCCTATCTCCTCCTCCTCCATCTCCAACACCATCACATTATTATTATTATTATTACTACGACTATGACTATTTTCTTCTTCCTTCCTTCTCTCATTCTCCCCCTCCTCTGCCAACACCACCACTCTCATTACCATCATTCTTCTGTTCTTCCCTCTTTCCCTCTTGTGCTTCCTCTTAGTTTGCCCTCTTCTTCCCCCCTTCCTTCATCTAGGTCTCTAAAATGCTTTGGTAAATACTTTTCAGTAAATCAAGTGTCATTTGTGACACTTACTCATAAATCAAAGACACTCAGTGATTATTTTTGTGCACAGGTCTGAAAGTGGACCGGTATCTGTGCCAGACTCAGATGAGGATGAGGATGTCAGCTATGCCAAGAATGGAGCCAATGTTATCAATGAGTCAGATGATGCAAGTGCATACATATCTGATGATTCAGCTGTTGGTGATTCACACTTCCATGAGTTTGTTGTCAAGTCAGATAATGCCAAAGTTGTGCAGGATACTCCCAAAGTGGAAACCTCAAGGACACATAAGATGGGGATGGGATCCATCCCTTCCACAGACACTCCATCCCTTCCCTCATGTGGTGGTATCAGTTCCAAGATAGAAGGTGGAATGATGTCTAGTACTCCAACTCTTGACCCTACAACACCGCTAAACACATGGAGGAAATCTGCTGCTGTCGTAATCTCTGACGATGAAGAAGGAGAAAGCCCCATCCCACAACCATATCAGAGAAAAAATAAAGCTGTTGTGGAATCAGACTCGGACTCGGAATCTGATGTGAGTCATTTAAAGTACAGGCAGGAAAGAAAATGGAAAACTAAAGAGAATGAGAGCAGGTCAAGTCCTAAGGGAACTGCCAGATATAAGAGTTGCTCTGATGTTCAAGATGGCAAGGGGATGCATCCAGGTAATAGACATGTTGTTGATTTGGTCAGTGATGCAGACAGTCCAGTTCCTCAATTTATTAGAAGGAAGAAGTCAACTGTTATTGATAGCGACAGCCAAGAAGAGTCTTCATTAAAGAATATCTCAGAACAGGAACCCAGTGGAATTTTGGAGGACACTAATGATTCCATTGTATCTCCATCATCTCCAGAAAATGAAAAATCCTTAACCCCCCAGCAAAAGTATGGGCACCGTTTCAAAATTAAAAAGAAAACGCCACAGAAACATGAATCATCTGCATCTATTAGTCGGACAAACTTTGAAGACTCTGTAACTTCAGTTAACAAGTCAGTCAGTATTTTGGAGGTGTCAAATGCATCTGCCGGCAATACAAGTGGCAGGAGCCTTACCTCAGGCATGTCCGTGTCGGATATGGATGCAGATGAAATCCAGAGAAAGCTGAAACAAATGAAGGTAGGTTTTGAGAAATTCTTAGTTCCATAGTATTGTTTATTATTGTTCATAAGATAAAGGGCATACAGTTTTATTATTGTTAAATGAGCATAGTAAACTCTCATTAATGCAGATACCAAGAATAAAACTTAAACCATATAAAGAAGTGGATGAAGTATAATGTTATATTATTATCTCTTTGAGTAACATTCTTATAAAAGGCAAAATTCTGTCTTTAGTTGGTGATGCGGACAGGAAATATGGCAGCTCTTCCGGACAAGGGTGAAAAAATAAAGGCCAAGATTCGTTCTTTGGAAGATGCCTTGGCAAATCTGAGTGTTGACAGCATCCAGGTTAGCTTGATGATAATTTTTTTTCCTTCTCTTTCCATTCATTGTTCATTTCATATCTAGTTTGGTATTGCCGTTCCCCTTTTATTGTCATTTTCTTCATCATTAATTATTAGTTCCATCACTGATAATCATAGCAGCTTTTCTTCTGTTAGTATTCTGTTCCATTTTTATTCCACTTTTTCCATTAAATTTTCCTTTTATCCTTCTTTTTGTATTTTCTCTCAATTACCATTTTGTCTGGCCTTCTGTATAATATGCAGATTTTACTTAAGACATTTGTAGCATCCACTAATGTATCAGGTAATGAATGAAAAGTTTTCTCCAGCCACACTCAACATATGACCATCATACCCCCATACCCCTTGGAGACCTTCCATTCTTCCCATTTCTCCTGTTTTCCTTGTGAATGAAATGTATCATGTGTAAATGTGTATTTCTGGTACTAAATTGCATATTTCATTTAGCCAAACCCTCAATCTTTTCCACTCTTATATTCCCTCTTCACATACCATGTTATAACATATCAGAGAGTTACATCATGGTATATCATTGTCTTTTTGCCATTTATACATCTTGATACTAATAAATACATCGGAATATATATTTTAGTTCTATATAAGATGAAGCTATGATTTTGTTGCTTTGTATGTGTTTTATTCGTTTTGTATGTGAATTTTAACTATGATAACTTTTTCAATGTTTTGGCTTATTGATACACTGTATATTTAACATATGACAAAGAAATATAAATTTTTGTGAAGAAGATTGAGCTTTTAAAATGCCATCAACTTAATTCCACTGTAGTGAAACGTAGTCAGGTTAAGAGGTTAGCTTGGGGTTCTTAAGGGATGATTAAATGAAATTGCATCCTGTTTAAAAGAGACAAAAATGATAAACTAATCTTATTATATACGGGTATTTCAGGATGTATCAAGCCATAAGGAAAGCCCCAACAACTCTCAAAATATATCTGCAGCATCAAGTAGCGGTGAAAGTTCTGTACATGATGTGTCTAACTCCTCTTCATCATCAGTGAAGAGTGTTTCAGAGCCAAGCTTGAGTGAACTGGAGAGGAAACTGAGACAGAAAAGGGTATGCTGTTGTATCGAGGCTTTTTCAGTCATTATTATAGTTCTAGAGTGTAGTTTTCCCAGCCTTATTTCAGGCTGCCACAGCAGATAATATTTACTTCAATAGCTTTTGTAGTATTTTACTTTTCTGTTAAACTTCTGTATAAAAGTTACACATGCCTGTGGATCATCTTTCTTTTAATTACAGATGGAGTACGATGATGCTAGAAGGATGTCCAAGCCTGACAAAGAGCAAAAATTACGAAAACAAATTGCACAATTGGAAGAGGATA